TATATATATATTATATATATATATATATATTTTTTTTTAGGGGGTGGGGGTGTCACTCTAAGATTTAAATTTCTTAATGCACTAGTCTGTACAAACTACTTTGCCGCAAACCATAAAACGCGCAAAACCATCATTTGAATAGGGCGTCTCCAACAGTTTTGCACCTGCCACCAGTTACGCAATCACTCTTGTTAAATCACCCGCAACCCATGGTTCAGCCCCTTGCACAAAATTCCAGTTTGCGAGTGCACATTACTGCACGCAAAATTGGATCTTGATAAATCCGGCCCACAGAGAGATGGAGAGTAAGGATGACTCCAGCAGCAAAACAGCGTTTTCCACATGTAAATATCGGAGTTACATCGAGCTGCGTTTCCCCATCAGATACGGTTTCCCCTGCAATTCCGCACAGTGCAGGCGGCACGATTCACCGCGCAAGCTAAAGGCCGCGCATAACAGCCGCCCTGTGCTCGCGCCACAGAGGAACTACGGAGAGCGTGAACGATCAAATGTTAGGATGGATGGATAGATAAATAGATAGGTAGATGGATATATAGATAGCTGGCTGGCTGACTGGATGGATGGATGGATGGATGGATGGATGGACGGACGGACGGACGGACGGATGATGGATGGATGGATGGATGGATGGATGGATGGACGGACGGACGGACGGACGGACGGACGGACGGACGGACGGATGTTGCAGTATCTATACCAACCCAAACACACAGGATTTCAGAATTAGACATCCCCAGTTATTAATTTTGTGCACAAACCAGATCTGAATGCCCTGTTAAAAAACTTCACACCTATGAGTAGAAGTAATGCAGCCTGATGATATTTACACTGCATCAGATACCATTCCCCCAAAGTTAAGAAGATGGAAAAACTATCTGATGGGGTTTATTGGCCCGTCAGATAGCATTCCCCCCCCTGATGTCATTTACGTTGAGTTGCAATAAAGGCAAAACTCTCTGCAGGTACTTGTTTTTGTCGTCCACTTTATTCAGCTGGCTTTTGAAACACGTGGCGAGAAGGTGGCGGCCACTAGTGAGGGTTTCGAGGGCGAGAAACGCAAAAGTAATGCAATAGTTACTTTTTCTAGTAACTAGTTACTTTTATTGTGGAGTAACTCAGTTAATAACTCAGTTACTTTTTGGGAGAAGTAATTAGTAACTATAACTTATTACTTTTTCAAAGTAACGTGCCCAACACTGTTGTAGGACTTCTCCCTCGCATNAAACTAGTGAAATTGTTTAACATATTAGGATTTATGGACAAATATAGCTCAGGGATTCCTGAAATACGGGACAAAACAGTTTTTAAAAAATGTGTTTTTAAAATGCAAACTATGTTTGTTGTAATTATATGTTTCTGTAAAGAATTATCTAAGCTATTTAACAATATAAAGGAACAGGTTATGAACAGAATTACTTTTTAAAAAAATGAAAATATTCAACTCTAGAAGTTGATTTTTGTCAACTCTGTCAGACACAATAAAAATAACGTCTTTTTTTTCTCTCCAATATTAACCAAAATCCTGAAATATGATGCAGTAACATTTATCTACTCTGACATAAAATAAAAAATAAAAAAGTTATTTCGTGATTCAACACTATTTTGAAAACCCATATTTCAAAATGCATTATTTATAAAGGGCTCAAAAGTATTAATGTATAGAAAATGCCGATTAACAGCTGATACTGATGTCAACCTCAATATATCATGCATCCCTAGTATGGACACAACTTCAATTCCATCCATCCATGCATGGCTTCCCTTAAAGCTGCATTAGTGATTATCCTCCTTCAGAAGCAGCAAAATCAAATTTAGAAGTTTGTCCTATATGTCGTTAACAGCCAAAGTCTAT